GGGACCCCCAAAAAAAAAAGTACCACTGGGAACCCCTCTCCCTATTTTCCCCTGCTTATCCCCAGTTTCCATTTCGTTTTCCATGCTCTTTTCCATTTGTTTCTTGGGATGATGTCCCTAACCCTAAACCCCAAACCTTATATATCCCCTATAAATCCCTTCTAGGGGTGTCCCTTGATTTTGGAGAACCCCAAACCCTCCCCTCCCCGCACCTGCGAACCGCTTCGCTGCGCTCTTCCGCCTCTAGGGTAGGTTTGGGGGCCCCATAAAGAATTAATTTGTATGGGTTTATGAGGATTCTATAGGGATTGAGGGTAAATAAGCCTAAAACCTAACCCTAAACCTAAAGATGATTTTCAAACCTACCCCTGACCTCACGGGTGACATCCTCGTGAACGCCTTGGATGGCAGCCTCCAGACTCATCGCCTCCGGGAAGGTCCGCTCTCCAGGGCTCCCAAGTGCCATTTCTCAGAATTTCGGGGTAATGGACAAGAAAATGGAAACTACTAGCTAGGAGTTAGTGCTTTTTTCCATCTCAGGGGAGCCATGGTGTAGGGTGCGCAGGATTCTCAAGATAACGTGCCCGGGGAAGAAGATTGTGCGTTCAAGCCCCCCAGCTCCTTCAAACTGTACATGGAGGGTCAGGGGGACTTTGTAAGTAGGCTAATGTTGGGTGTAATTGGGATTACTGTATGGGTTTTGGGGGGTTACACGTAGGGGACACTTCAAACACAACCCTTCACCTGAACACAGTGCACATCCAGAAGCATAAGCAATGAACTCTCCAGCACTCTGCAATCTCCCAGTCGACCCTCCAACATGCCCACATCCCTAAACCCTAAACCCTAAACAGGCCTGCTCGCGGGCGATCCGCCCGATGCCTTCGGCGGTCGCCCGGTCCGCGAGGCAGCGGGCATCCAGCTTGTGCACCTCACGGCTTCCTACTTTGAGGTAATAAAAGGATTTCTCAACAGAGCATACCCTGGGGGCTGCCAGAGATGTATGTTGACCACCATGTGGATTTAGGCCCAAATATGTGTCAGTGTTTTTTACGTGTAGATATGAAAGGTTCTTTCCATAATGCGTGCGCGAAACTTGACCCAGCAAGATCAGCTCCTACCCTTAACCCAGGGTTTAAGGTTTAGGGTATATAATTTAACTACTATCTATCCTATATGTACCCTGAAGGGTGCCTAGAAGCCCCCTACACGGTCCACATTCGGGGCCCATACTTGTAACCTTACATACTATGGGGAAACACATACCCACCGAAGCCGGAAGCAATCGACTTCTTTTTAAACTACTCGCGCTCCCTCTGTCATCGACTATTCCCTCATCACGACCCGAGTGGTGAAATAACGGACGAAATTGTGGATGACCTAAACCCTAAACCCTAAAAGGAACAAAGCCATGGTCCTTCTTGGTTACTCTGAAAACCCGATGCAGTGTCACCCTTTGGACTCAAACAAAGGACGTCAGCTTCGACAACCTACCAAACCATATGGGAGTTTACCATTACAGGGGTTCCCAATAATAAGGATTGTAACATTTTGGAGTCTGTATTGGGGTCCCCCTATTTTGGGAAACTACCATATCTATGTCGCACATTAAGATATCCCACATAGACTTCAAGCAGTTTTCTTCTGGAATCCTAAACCTGACACGCGGACTTTCTTGCGGTCGTGATTGGATACCCAAGATATACACGCATCCATTTTGTTGAAACGAGCTAAAGTCTAAATTCCTAGTATCTCCTAAAGAACCCCTATCATACTTCCCTACATAATGCCCTATATCACCCCATTTAAGGAGTTTAGACTATAGCTCAAATCAGAAACGGATGCCCGCCTCTTCCTTCAAGGATCGGCTGCCCTCGACTACCTGGCCGCTTCTGGCGAAATGAGAGCATCCAAACGCAGCGCGGCGTGCCCCAGAAATCTGGCTGTAGACATGTGATGAGACTAGGTACTACCCAAGATACATATGCCGCACCTTCAACAGCATCGCCGACTTTCCAGCCTTTCCTCAAGTGTCAAAGAATCCCAATATAACCCCTATATAACCCCTATAATTCCTGTAGTTTCCATTTTCTTTTCCATTATCCCTATATATCCCCCATGACCTACAGAATCCTCATGTAATTCGCCCACAAAGAAAAACCCATCCTTGCGGGAATTGGGCCTCGTGGCGGACCTGGTCCAAAGCATCCCGAAGCCTCGCAACATCCGCAGAGCGGTCGCGGTGAAGCTCGGCCATGGCCGTGTCAATCTTCCTCAGGTGATATTGGGGTTATATTGGGGTTATATTGGGGTTTCAAGGCTTAAGATTTCTGTAAGGTTTCACAAGGAGACATACATAGAGGGGCCGTAGAAGATCCATTGCTATGCGGGGCTTAGGGTTTCGGGCACGGCCTCCGAAATTTCCTTCTGAAACTCGAGCAGACCTTGGATGTCAGATTCCTCTGTGGGCTATCAAAATTTGACATCCGGGATCTGTCAATGTTCGTCATCACTACGACCCCGGAATCGCTCAGAACCCCACGCTGGCCAAAACAGGGGGGCACGAGAAAAACGACCACCAATCTGTCTAAACCCTTTGCTCTCCGAGTCCCTCCATTTTGAGAACCTTAAACCCTAACCCTAAGTAGTAGCTGCCATTTCATTTTCCATTTGCTTTTCAATTTGATTCTTCATTATGGTACCCAAGACCCCCATTCTCTCAAGCCCAGCAGCTGCAGCTCGAACTGGCGCTCTGCAGCCTCGTGGTCCCGCCGGGCACCATCTTCGGCCAGGCGGCCCTGCGTGCGACATGGACTTGGGTAGGAGTCGGTAGATTAGGATAGGTTAGAGCAGTTTAGGACACATTAGGGTAGGTTCGGACAGGTGGGGTTTAGGATTTTTAGGGTTGAAGGGTTTGAGATTTAGGGTTTAGGGTTAGGTTGGGGTACAGGAGGGGAAAGGCAAGGGCGTGAGTTTGGGGGGGCGTCGGGCTTCAGGTTTAGAGCTTGGGTCAGTAGGTGATGATCTGTTTGGGGTTAGACTATTGCGGCTATACAGCTATACTAAGGCTTAGCTTAGGACATGCTTCTCAACACCTGAAATCTCACACGGCCTCTGGGAGGCTTCCACAAGAACATCCTGGTTGCGACTGCCATCATATAACCCGAATATAACCCCTATATGAGAGTAGAACCATGTTCTTTTCCATCATCCCAATACAACCCCAATATAACCCCTGAATCCCCAGAGCCCGTGAAATCCTGAAGCCATCAAGCCCACACTTCTTAACAATAAACTCTCAATCTTAAAATCCTAAACCCTTAAACTCTGAATCCTGAAGCCCTGACGCCCTAGAACCTCAAAATCTTCAAAGCCTAAGGCTAAAACTCTAAAGCTCTAAACCCCTAGGTACTGACCACACAAACCCAGATCCACATAACAGCTGCCTTGATCGTCGCCAGGTCTTTCCGGCAATCCTCGATGCAAAGCGCGCGCTGGGCGCGCTCTTCGAGAAGGTTCACCTGGAACATACAGAAATGATGTGGAAAACGGACACTTTCATTTTTCGGGTTTACGGTTTATGGTTGATTCTGGCTGTTGAACCAACTGATACTATGTTCCTCTTGTAAAATGCTACAGCAGAAGAGTATCCCCGAATACTTGCCTGGAACTTACAGGAATGCAACAGAAACTTCTCACGTAGAGTCTAAAGGAATGGACAAGAAAATGACAACTTGTCCAAAGCAAAATCCAAAGAAGTGGAAAAAGAAAATGGAAACTTCTCTAACGGGAATGGAAAAGAACATGGAAACTATAACTATTCTAAACTGGGACTGCAAGGGCATGGGGGAATGAAACTACTCTAAAGTGATGGAAGAGAAAATGACTACTCGAAAGGAACCGAGAGGCAAATGGAAACTGCTAGGCAGGAGCGGAAAGAAAAGTTGAAACTTTTACTACAAAAGAATGGAAAAGAAGACGGAAACTACTGCATTACTTGGGGCTTGGGGTCCAGGCTTTAAATTCGTTAGTAGCGAATGCAGGATTGGTAAACATAACGGAAACTACTTTTTCATTTCGGGCTTCTTGAAATCACATTTCACTTGGGTGAGGGATGTGGGGGTCTAGGTTTCTGAGTTAAGGGCTTTGAGGGTAGAGGGTTGGGGTCCTCTGGGTCTAAAGCGTTCGCCTATATTCCAGGCGGAGACAGGGCCAAGCAGCTTTGATGGTCTCTATATGACCCCCGCTGATTGTCTCTGCATTCCCTCCCCCACTTCTCCTTGCACCCGCCCAAAATCACGAATCCTACGCCCCCACCAGTAAGAATCAGAGCAGACGGAGCTTGAGGCTGATTTCTCTCCGTTTGTAATTAATACTCCCAATATAAAATACGGTTGCATATTGAGTTGAATAGTTGTCAGAGTGTGGTGTATAATTAGGGGGAGGGGACTCCTGGCAGGGCACCAACAATTAGGGGCGTAGGGGTTTTGGAGATTTGGGGCAGTGGATTGAGGGGTGAGGGGTTGGGGGGTTTAGGGGTCAAGGGGTTGACGGTTTTGGGGAGTTAGAATTTAGGGTGCAGGCTTACCATAGCAATGTGGCAATGTGGGCTTGGAATTCAAGAATCCGATCGGTGCAATGAATGATCGCAGGCCTCAATCAGGTTGAGCATCTTGGTTTCAAGAGATTCTGGACAGGTTTGTTCCACCACGGCGACGTGTCAACAACGGATTGCATTGCCGGATCTCCTTGTTTTGGACCAACGTGCTACCCGTGAATCCTAAGCAAACCCTTTATTAAAACGAAAGCCCCGAACCTTAAACCCTATGTCCTGAACTAAGCCCTGAACCCAAACCTACGCCCAGGTGCCTTGTAGACCTCGTCAAGCTGGGCATCCGAGGCTTCCCGCGCTCGTTTCTCCATTGCGATCGCTTCCTGGGGAATGAGTAGCTTTGTAGCAGGAGTGGCAGTAGCAAGTGAAGTACTCAATAGGAGAGATCAGGAGTGATGCTGTATGCGGCTGCTCTGGCGAAGCGACCCATCCAGGGACCCTGCGGGCCCCAAGCTTGACAACCATACCCTCTAGTCTGCAGAAGACTCGTGGGTAGCCCCCATAAAGACGTCCTGAGTCCAAGTATATCTCTCACATACTTGCGGTACAGGTGATTGGCTGTCAAACCAGCCAAACAGCATTCCCCTGCATCATCCTGGATTCCCTAAACCCCTAGGCCACAAAACCCTTATCCTAAACACCTACACCCAAAAAACTGAACGTCTTAACCTAAGTTAAACCCTTTAACTCATCCCCTTCCCCCCTCCCACCCCCAACCCTAGAACCCTCCACCGTCCCTCCACCCTCCCGAAAAGCCTCCCGGGCCAGAATCTCGGCATCCACGGAACGCCGGAGCTCTGTTTGAAGCTCCTTCCTCTCCCGTACCTCAGTCTTTAGGGAAGAGGGTTCACCTATATATATATATATATGTGGGGGTGGGGTAGCATATGTATATATATATATAAGGGTTATATAGGGATAAGGAAAAAATGGAAACTACTATTTAGGGTTTAGGGTTTAGGGTTGAGGGGTTTAAGGTTTCGGAATTTGGGGGGGGTGTAGGTGTCGGGTCTAGCGTGATTGCTGGTTGAAGGTCTCAGGATTTCGAAATGAGACGGTTCAGGGGGCTTACAAGGTTGCGTTTGCCTTGAGAGGGCTTGAGTCTAGGCGCTTAGGATTTTTGAGAAGAGCATATGAGCTATAGTCTAAGCTCCTCGTATCTCGCTTAAGAGACCCTTTTATACTCCTCTATATAATCCCCTATATCTACAGGCATGCCCTGTTTAGGTTCGTGAGTGTTTCCATGTCTTTGCTGTTGCGGCTTCATCTTCCCGAGCGCATACCACAAAAACCTGAACCTGCAAAGATTAGCGCAAGGTCGGCAAGCCTGCCATCGTCTCAAAAACAAGCAAGCCTAAAAGCTGAAAGTCGTTCTCCAAGTATACCCCTCCGCACGCCTTTTTTTACAAGGCTGAAGTCCAAAAACACTGCCCTGAAAACAGGATGAACCCCTGAACGCCAGAACCCCATCACCCTGCACCCCGCATCCACCCCGCATCCTAGACTTTCATGTGCTTCCCTGCTGCAAGTATATTTCGACATGACAGACACAGCAAAGCCAATAAACCCATACGTACAACCAGACAGAAGCCTGTTGAGGTAAATAAAGGATATGGACATGAGCTAGAGTCTACACTCCTAGTATCCCCCTTACTAGCCCCTATAATGGGAACCCTATATAACCTCCTATATACACCCGTTAAGGAGTTTAGACCCTAAACCCTAAACCCTAAATAGGGGGGGTTATATAACATAACCTCCTATATATATATACAGATATTTAGACTATAGCTCACATGCTGGCTGCTTACATGCGCCCAAGCAACCTCGGTTCGGAAAGCCGTCTCAAGCTCAGTCACCTGCTCAACGCTGAAGAACTCAGGAACACAGGGGGTTAGCAGAAAATAAGGGAATATACTATGGAGGACTATATGTCCCCTGAGTCCCCTACTATGGTTCTACTTGGGTTATAAGTGACAGGTCAAGTTGGGTTGTGAATACCCTGAACCTCCAAGTCAGGGCTGGGCTCAAGCTCTAGAGGTCATGTGTGAGGGTTCAAAGTTCGAGTGCAAACTCTGGCTGCGCGTCCTGTGGCCAAGAAAGAAAAGTTTGTCCTACATCCCAAGAGTAGGGCAGGGATAGGAGCCCGAAGAAGGATCCCTTGAAGGGAATTATGAGCGAACCCGGAGGTTCCTAAAAGGTCTGTTTTACCTGAGGCACCTGCACAACTATCTGAAAAAGCCTCTGAGAGTTAACCCACAGGTAGGGTTAAGGAGCTTAGTTGCAAGTTGAGTTATGCGTAGCCCGAACTGGCGTAGAAGTAGATTCCTCCTCCTGAAAGTCCGTTATATACCCGTTCATCTTCAAGTAAGGACCGCATCAACCTCACTGCTGCCCCGAGTATCATCGACGCCACTCTCACTCCTACTGTTCCTACCACTCCTTCTGGTGCTGTTGCCACTGATGAGAAGTAGTTTCTCAAAACAGGTTGCGCCTATATGTGAGGCTCACACAAGAATGATGGGGATCCTTGTCGGGGACTGAATGGGCAATTTTCAACAGCCCTACATCCTACATCCTAAACCCTAAATCCTAAATCCCAAGCCCTCGACCCCATAATCCTATCTCCAGCTGGGTAGAGCGTATGATCAAACCCCATACAATTCTAGGTTTGGGGGGTGATATGCCCTTGCACCCTTTATAACCCCTATATAACCTTTCATAGCCCTATCTAAACAGCACAAACCCCATATCATTTCCAAAGAGCCCCTTAAGCCCTCTATAACCCCTAGACGCTGATGACCTCACGAAACCTCCTTGGTCTGTGCCTTCGTCTCAAGCTGCCGCCAGGCGGTGCCACTGCGCTGCATGTCAGTAGCCAGTTCGAGCCTTCTCAACGGCTGGGACCATATGAGCTATAGTCTAAACTCCTAGTATCCCCCTTAATAACCCCTATAGTAGTTCCCTATATAATCCCTTATATATCCCCCTTTAAGGAGTTTAGACTAACTTGGGGGCTTGGAGGTTTAGGTCTAGGGGCTTAAGGGTTTAGGGTTTTTGGGGACCCTAAACCTGCTGGTTGTCAGTAAGGAATGGCAAAGCAACAGGAAAATGAATATGCCCTTGCGGAGTCTGTACGGGCTTCTATTGGGATCCATTTCCCATTCCCTACTAACCACCGTAATGGGGTTTACTTGGACCCCACAAGCACCACAACCTCTAAGCCCAAACTAATTTACGTATATGTGCGCTGTTATGGTTATTTGCGAGGTCTTGGTTCGAGTTCAGGGTTCGCGGTGTAGACGTTAGAGTTTAGAGGTATCGGATTTTGAAAAGGCCTGTCTGAATATGAACCCGTAATCCTGAAGTCCCTTCATTAATAAAAATGCGGATGCCTTTTCATGTATTTTACACCTCTGGGTGCGCAAGGGGTGCTACTGTGGATGAGGAAACCTTGCACCACCTTTTTCACCCCATGCCCCGATGAGTACAGAAGCTTGGGGATCTTCAGAGGTGCCAAATTTCCGGCATTCGAAAACTTCTGGAAGGTGTGGAGGGAATTTATAGGACCAAGATGCAGTTAGCGTTAAGTATATTTTGTAGGGTTCCAGAAGTATCCCTCATCCCTAAAACCTATAAGCCCTAACCCCCAAATCCCCAAAGCCCTATTCGTTACACCCGCATCCCTAAACCACCAAAGCCCTCTTCCCTGGACCCTGGTGGGTTTAGGGTTTGGGGTGTAGGGTTTAGGGGCAACTCCTTGGTGATGCCATTTTTGCTGTCCCAAACGCAAGGTGCTGTGTTGTGAAGGGTGCCTCAAAAAAAGCCCACAACTTCGAGAACAAACTCCTATCCCTGAGCCCCAAATCCGCAAAGTCTAAACCGGTAATCCTGAAACCTAAAAATCCAGCGTATGTCTGTATGCATATATATATATACATATGTACAAAGGCGTCTCTAGATATGTGTAGACATATTCGACATATTTGCATGCTGTGTCTATATATCTATACCTGTATATATGCATATATAATTTGTTTATTATAAATATCTACTAGTTGCTAGTAGGGGTAATCCCTCTGGAAGATGTCCCTTTATTCCCTACTAACCACCAGTATAAACTCGACCAAGACGCCGCAGATCTTCGCAGCTCTTCGACAAACTTTGCAGCTTGGACTCCGTCTCCTTGCCACAAGCCCAAAGCTCAAACCCGGTTTGTGGATTTAGGGTTTAGGGTTTCGGGCTTGGGTTTAGGGTTTCGGGCTTAGTGTTGAGGGATACAGGACAGTTCAGGGTTTCGGGCTTAGGGATCTAGAGGCAGGGTTTGGGTTATTAGGGCTCAAAAAGGAGAATCAAGTGCAACGAAGGTGGAAACTGAAATGGAGGTGAATCTATCGTTCTACTGGATCCTAGGGATTGTGATTTAGGATGACGAATACACAGAATAAGCTGGTGGGGTGTACTATACTATAGTTCTACATAAGGGCTAAGGGAAGAATCTTGGCAAATGTTTAAGCTTTCCTTAAATAGGCTTGGTCACAGGGATGTATAGAAAGACAAGACCGTGGAAGGGATGACTGTAGGGATTATGTCGTGAACATTTTGGGAACTACTTGGAGATTCAAGGCAAATATAAACCAGCTACAACAGGCGATTAAAACACGATTTGGACCATAATGGTGGACTTAGGGGGCTGATAGTTGGGCTTTAAGTACAATTGTAGTTGGCTCATAAGTGCCCTGAACCTCCAAGTACCATACTGGCCCTGCTTAAAGGACAACAGCCTCTGCAGGCAATTTGAAGAGTGTAACTGAACATCCTTCCATGCCCTAGTGGGATGATCCTAGGCCCACAAACGCACGCACAAAAGGACTCACCCTCGACCCTAACGTTGGGCTGTTTGGGTTTAGGGTTTAGGGTTTAGGGATTTGGATCTCAGGGTATTATAATATAGTAGTTTCCATNNTCCATTATCCCAATATAACCTAATAGTACCCCAATGGGTAACGTCTGCATGCCTCAGCCCTTGTCCCATGAGCTGACAATCTCCATCCGTCTCCTTGGAAAGATGGGCGCTGAGATCTTCCATGCGCTTAGAAATTGCTGCGAACTTGTCCAAGTCGCGCTGCGTTGTCTTGCGCCTTGGATTGGACGTAGAGATTGATGATGCGGGGCTTTCAGGATTTGGGACTTCGGATCTGACTTGCATTTGTAGGGTTCTAAGCTTGACGATCCTGGTTTGCCGAGTGGTGTACAGATGTGCAAACAGTAGACTAAGATGAAACCATGATCCGCTCCATTGGAAGCGAGGTGCAAGTTGCGAGTCAGCTGCATGTTCAAAAGGCATGAGAAGCTTCCGCTGCTAGGGTTTTGGGTTTAGGGGCAGCC